ACAGCCCTGAGCACCGGGCCCGTTCCTGCCCCGCCGCGCGGCCCGGGGGCTCTGACCTTGAGCGCCCGCCGGCCGAGGGCGCCGCTCCGGAGGCCGGCCCGGGTCTGCGCCGCAGCTGGGCCTGCACCCTTCAAACGCCCTCTGCACCACCCGGGGCCACCAGGGCTCCTGGGGACGTGAGCGCGCCGCCGGGCGCGGGAACCCAGAAGGGGAGCTCAGCCCTGACGTCACGCGTGCTTGTTCTGCCCGGGTGCTTCCCCGCTGCGGTCGGCGCCGGTTCGCGGCCCAGAGGAACGGCTAAGCGCCGACCCTAACGGGGAGTTTAGCGTAGACGCACCTGGATACAGAGGGTCCAGGTGAGGGAGATCGGAAGTAGATCAGGGCGTGTTTGCAGCCTTCTCCGATCGCCCCTTCCAGTTTAGGCAGAGTAGGTTTTCAAACAAATGCCGAGCTGAATGTCTTGCACCACCGTCCCTGGAAACTGCCCCCCTCCCCCAAAAGGAGCCTAACAGGACAGCAGTGCTGAGATGATTTCTAGCTTTCCCAGAATTCCCTTCTCTCTCTTTTTTTTTTTAAAGAAGGCAAATTTCTCTTAATTGCCTGCATCGCATACAATATGGCCCTTAGGAGGAAGGTCCATAAAAACCGGGCTTATTATTAAGGGAGACCTCATGTTAGGTTATCTTGTGAATTCAAGTCTGTAATTAAAAAAAAACACGAGATTATTGGTGTCGCAGAGAAGCAAACCAAAGAATTGCGTTTCCTTCCACAGTGTTCTGGGCTGAAAGGACCAGCCCTGATCCGGGTTTGCTCTCATTCGCTAACAAGGTGGTTTATGTTTTTGTCTTTCAGAATGTTGGCTTCCAGGGTATTTAGCCTAATTGGCAGGCGAGCACTTTCCACCTCGGCCCGTGTGCGAGCACACGGTAAGTGCGAGTGTCCTTGCTCTTAAATAGGCTGACTGCCGTCTGTCCGCCCGTGCTGGAGTTCACTATGACCAAGATCTCGGTTCTCTGTCGGACTTCAGGAGAGAGCGAGCGAGCGAGGCTGCACAGCATGTGGTGGTAGCTTACCAGCCCTGATCCGGGTTTGCTCTCATTCGCTAACAAGGTGGTTTATGTTTTTGTCTTTCAGAATGTTGGCTTCCAGGGTATTTAGCCTAATTGGCAGGCGAGCACTTTCCACCTCGGCCCGTGTGCGAGCACACGGTAAGTGCGAGTGTCCTTGCTCTTAAATAGGCTGACTGCCGTCCGTCTGCCCGTGCTGGAGTTCACTATGACCAAGATCTCGGTTCTCTGTCGGACTTCAGGAGAGAGAGAGCGAGCGAGCGAGGCTGCACAGCATGTGGTGGTAGCTTAGGAGCATTTATGAATCCTGAATGCTAGTCTGGATATCTGTCTATATATGTTTTAAATTTTACCAGAGGGTGTGTGCTGTGCTTAGAGGGAAGGTGAGAAGGCACTGAGCGCCCGCCCGTGGGGCACGGTCCACTGCAGTCCCTTCTCCATCTTCTCCCTTCCTTTGGAATTTTGGGCACACATGCTCCCTGTGTGTTTCTCAAACTGCCTGGGCTGGACTTGAACTGTGGATGGTCGTGTGGGATCCAGCTGCCTTAACCACGACACCCGTCTGCTTCTAGCGATATTCCTCCCTCTCCCTTTTCTCCCCTCCCTCTCATTTTCTCAGGTTCTAGTTCCACACCGCTCAGGCTCCTCCACACCGACCTTAATGACTAACCCTCTGGCCAACCCCCAGCCAGCTCACTCCTGTTTAAGTTCAGGGGCAGTGGGAGCCCGGGAGCTTGAACTTGTAGCCTGGGCTGGAGTTCAATCCCATTTCTACCACGAAACCAGTTCGTTAAATCTAGGCATTTCTCCCCCTAAGATGTATGCGGAGAACTTAGTTCCGTGCCGGGCACAGAGCGAGCTCTGTCCTGCATTTGTCACGCATCTTTGAACTAGACTCCATAGACACTCAGAGCAAAGAGCGTGCGACCTGGACCCTCCCCGAGGGTGAGTGCAGTCTGCGGAGGGACAGAGGTGATGGCCCAGAGCAGAGCAGTTGGCCCGGCCTGGGGTTCAGACACGGCTCTGGACAGGCTGCGACACAGGACTGGCAGGGTCACGTGCAAGTCGGAGAGCGTGGTCGGGCTGCTTCTAGTCCACTTGGTTGCTAAGTAAGGGCCCGCTGACCCTGAGTCATTGGTACAAGCAGAGGGCTACTCAGCTTGTGGTCTCTAGGTCCAAGGCCCAGGGACCTCTGTGGGCTTCTGGCTGCTCCACAGTGTGGCCATGGGCAGGAGCGTGTAGCCTGTCCCTCATGCATCTTCTGGTCTCAGTCTTCCTGTAAACTCACTTTCGCCCATCACGGGCCGCACCCCATCACTTAATCCCCCAAGCTCCACCTCTTGACACCACCGAGGTACGCAGTTTCCCCTTAATGCTGTCACAGCCAAGTCTCAGCACATGAATTGTGGTGAGAGGGAAATCATAGCGGGGCTCTGTAGCCAGGAACCCTCCGTGTGAATTCTCCGTGGAATCGTCCTTTAGCCGGCGACGCTGTCGCCTTGTCCCTCCATCCCTTATACTGGCCCGGACAGCAGTACGGACAGCCAGGACAGGCCATTTAGGGACAGTAGGGTTGGAGTAGCTGTGACTTGGGGCCAGCAGGTGGCATAGTGGTTATGTCACTGGACTCCCAGGTAGTTGACTGTGGTTTGAGTCGTGCTCCGTGACCTAAAACTCACGCCAGGCACGTGTGCGTGCATGCCTCAAATCCTGAGAGGAGAAAGGAGGAGACGGGATTACAGTGTGGCCATCCCCCCGGAGGAGTGACTTCTTACTCTCTGTCTCTCCAGTGAGCACACATGCCCTGTAGCAGAAATATCTCTTAGAAAGTCAGCAAGAAAGAAAGAAAGACAGAAAGAAAGAAAGGGGGCACGAGGTGGTTAAGGGTGCTGGACTCCCACGTGGCTGTCTGTGGTTGGGCCCTTGACACAGGGCGGCTCACTTTCTCCCTCTCTCCCTCCCTCCCCCCCTCCCCCTCTCTGGTCAAATTGAAGTAAAATAAACAAAGTAAAATAAAATAAAATGAAAAAGAAATAACTGACTTCAGTGGGCGATTAAAATCCCTCATCAGTATATATGGAGAGAGACTCCATTACGACCTTACACAGAGTTACTGTGACAAAGATTAGGTGTGCGCTTTTTAAAGTTTGTCTCAGGGGAGAAAAACAAGCATCCTCAACAGGGTCTCAAGCTGCCACCGCCTCGGCCCCAGCCAGTGGTGGGTGGCGTGGGCGGCGTGGGCGCAGGCTGGACAGGTACAGGTGGGCCGAGGGCCCAGACCTGCCGCAGATGGCCAGGACCCATTGCTAGAGCAGCAAGCACGGTGTGCCTCCCAGCCAGCCCTTAGTGTTGCTGCAGTTTGGCTGTGCGCGTAGGTTTCGCGTTCTGTTTGGATGTGATTTATGGGAAGCGTGAGGGTCTCGATCTGACGAGCTTACGGTAGTGTAACCACACACAGGATGTCCAACAGACCTCTCCACAGCCTGAAAGTTCCTCGCGTCTAGTCCTTGATGAGAAGCCAACTTCTGTCCCCGTACAGTGGCACAGGCACGGCTCATGCTGTGGGTATTGGGATCCTGCAGAGATAGAGTCCCCTCCTGAAGCCTTCCAGGGCCTTCCATTGCATTAGTAAAATCCACAGCTACCTTGTTAGAGCTGGTCTTGCCTTCAGTACTTAAAAGGCGGTGACTACCACCACAGCCACCTCCACCCTGCCCAGTGGCCACCCCAGCCTTAATCTGTCCCGCATTCAGCTGAGTTGGGGGTGGCTGCTTCTCTCCTCATCTGCCTTCATTTCAGATGTAACATTTGAGTTTTGGGCACCAGCAGTTGGCGTAATGGCTATGTCGCTGGACTCTCAAGTATTCGACTGCGGTTCGAGTCCCGGACCCGGTGGCTTAAACTCATGCTGGGCA